ATACCTTAACAACACTTAGACAGAGTAAACACAAAGCAATGTAATAAAATTTTTTGGCATCAATAGCTGGCTTTTCAATATTTTTGAGAATAATTTCCGATGCTATCAGTTTCCATATTTGGGCATCCCAATCCTCATAGGACATCAGACGCAAAGAGAAGGTGTCATTTAATGCAATTCTCTACTCTTTTATCAGATGTTTTTTCTTTCTGATTCGTAAAGGTCGCGAAGAATAAATTGCCATAATTCTAAATAGTTCTGTTGTGCGTTCCAGGCTGCACACGAAAATTTCAAAAATAAATCTTTCGAGACGGTAAAAACTGATTTGTCTATTAGAATTAGTGTTTCATCATAAATGATTGTTGAAAGTTCCAATTTGCGACGATTTCACAGTGTTTGAAGCGTTTGTATATTTCACGACTTCGCGAATGTGAAGACTTTTGGAAAGGTTTTTTTTTAAAAATACTAAAAAGCCAGCTATCGGTGCCAAAAAAATTGGGTTTCGTAGCATTTTGTTTATACTATCCAACTGTTCTTGAAGCATCTCCAAAAGTCTAGAACGAATTTAAAGATTAGCTGAAATTAGGGTACGTAAAATGCATGGGTGGAGATTGTGGCGATTATTCGAAAGATTGAAGGAATCGAAACAAGAGTATAACTGCTGGAAAGAGGAATAAATTCTGCATAGAACACCTTTAAGATGATTTGAGGAGAGGTCTAAAAAACAGCACGAACTTTCGGACCCACCTAATAAAATAAAGAGGATTAGAATTTACGCTAATACCACATAGATTAGGTGAAGATTCAGGTGAGGACTTCACACGAGATTTAATAAGAAGTACAGGAATGGAAAGAGATAAGGATGAAGCAAATAGCCTCTTACTGCGTGATAACGAATTCAACAACAGCCTGTAAATCCTGGCAGACACAAAAAAGAACACTCGTGAAAAATTCGATGAAGATCGACGGGCGGAAAACGGGGCAACGATTGCAGGCAAAGTTCACTTTTGAAAACTATCGAGGCAGAGGAGGGAGTTTAGCAAAAGAGCAGAATGTAAACAATCACTGACTGACTGATTGACTGACTGAGTGGACTTTCACTAGCAAACGGCACGACAATTTGAACGAAAGTGAGATGTGCTCAAATGACGACAAAATCGATTTTGGAGAAGAGAGAGAGAAGGGGATTTAACTGTGGGTAAAAATAGATCGCGTAGATAGCGTAGATCAAATGAGGCCACCATGCGCGGGAAGCTCGAAATGTGCTCAAATGACGAACGAATCGATTTTCGAACTGTTCGAGAGAGAGAGAGATGAGGATTTGACTGTGAAAATAGATCTTGTAGATCAAATGAGACCACCCAGCGCGGAAAGCGCGAAGTGAACTTTGCGCCACAGCCAATCTCACAAAATGGCACATTCAACAGTGAAACACGTTGTTTTCAGCTGTTCTTCACTAATTCTGACGCGTCGACATCAAAACGTGTCCCAAAGTGTGTTGTTTTGACATTGCAAGAGCGAACTCGACCATTTCGATATGTGCCCTGGTCGATCGGAAAGTTTTCTCCAGGTTTTCATAGCTCATTTGGGCCGCAAGGCTAAAAATTTCACAAAAATTGCGACCAATCTCCATTTTCTAAAGACATCTTACTGTGCGTAATTGACCCAAAATGGCTACAGATTTGTAGAAAAGTACAAGGGACTACAAACTAACAAAATTGTACGAAATCGAATCTCAAAATTACTCAACAAATCAATTTTTGAAAATTTGATTTTCTTGAGCAAATTATATAGTATCCATATTCCTAGATTGAAAACACAAAGTTCAATAATTTTCCTGGTTCTCTGTTCCCCTTTCTCTTGTTCCAATAGTGCAGCGCTGAAAATTTACTTTGACCCGCAAATTGCACAGTCGTAAACATCGAATCGTCCTGCCATCATCCACTTGAAACTAATCAAACTGAATTCAATTTGACATATTGCCATACAATTTCTTATATCAATAGGTTATAATGCATGCAGCCTCAACGCAAGGGCCCACCATGAGGTGGCATTTGAAGTTCTGGAAACGAAATCTCCTCTGACATTGCAGGAATTTACGATTCTTTTGTCTTTATTGTGGAATTACCAAATCGATGCGAACAAAAGTGTAGAAGAACCAGGAAATAAAACTACAAAAGGCGGAAAAAAGGAGGCTTTTCATATCATCAAGGTCCCCAGCGAAGCAGAGCGGTTGAAACCTGGGTAAGGCGAGTAGCCATATGCAGAGCATGCGCTAAAGAATAGATTTATGTACAAATTTCCAAAAAAATTATGTGAGTAAATTATGACTTTCTTTGGGCCCGCGCAACCTCACGGTGCTCCCAGGTCGTGCGGAAGGAACCTAAGAAAAACATGATTTATTTTATTTACATAATTTTTGATAACCTTTCACACTTTTCGCGAAGCTATACATTGAATTGATGGTTCAAAATTGTTTACTCGTCGTAAACAAACTGGTTGTTTATTTTTTGCATAAAGATCTGGTTTTAAGTTAGGAATTGTGTGTTATTGTCGTGTTATTTTACCTGTTACTGATGAAATGACGTCAGATCTCCAAATTCGAGCTTATTAGAAGTAACAGTAGTTTTTGCTAATATCTTGTCAGATCTAGAAATCACCCCTCTTCCCTCAAAAATTTACGAATTTCCTTCTGCTTCCCGTCAAAAACCGACATCCAGCGTGTGAAAGCGCCACCTCTACTGAGACCTGCTCAATGCAAAGATTAATACGTTTTTATTTTTGCTTTATTTTATTTCATAAATACACTCAAGGCGCACCAGAATGTAAAAGAAATAAAAGGAAGGTCCAAACAGGGCTCGGCACAAGGTGGCTTTTGGAAAATGCAAATACCGAAGTCCCCCTTGACTTTCTTAAATTTCTACGAAGTCCTCTTTGATCCTGAACCATAATCCTAAAAAATCTCCAAAAAAAAAACGAAACGTCGACCAAAAAAACGTCGCAAATTTTGTGTTTTTTCGGTACAAAAACCAAACCTCCTTTGTATGTAAAACGATATCCAGCTTGCTTACCAAGCCACCTGTGCCGAACCCTGGGTCCAAACAATTAAGATCAGGCAGTCCTCAGCCTCATTAGAAGATAAGTGATAATACGGATGGAAAAACAAAAAACAAGCTCTAGACCCACTCAGACAATTAAAGGCTCTCGGTAGGCAGCCACAAAACCACCGCCAAACCCCACCAAAAGCGCCGTGCGTTATCGCCTCACTGTCGCTTCCCGCTGAGGACCGTGCTAGAACTGGCAGCGAGCGTCCTCAGCGCAAAGCGAAAGTGGCGGCCGAGCCTTATCGCTTCCGGCTCTCAATTGCCCGCATTTTGGAGCGTACACTTTCTCAACGGTTGGGAAAGTGCTGCAGAACCGCTGCAACTTCCGCCTGTCCTGCGGATGTTCCGGCGAATCGTCTGAGGTTGTAAAGCTATAATCACGACCTTCTGTCTCAACAGCATAATTAACGAATTTGCAGTCACCTACTGTAAGCTTTACTCCCCTTAGAGAAGTGCGCTGTGGTACATAGTAAAAATAATCAAAGTCGTCATAAATTTTAACTCCACTTTGGAAAGTGGTCAGCGTGAACTTTGATTTCACCTTCTTAAATACGTAGATGTGTGGTTGATGCCTCGTCACAAATCCACGAACTCTTTGCCGCAGGATCTTTCATCATATTCGGCCATCAGCAAAGTTTTCATACGGTTTCGTTACAGCACTGTATGAAACGTTACTTTGCAGGATATGCACGAGCAAGAGCAGATTACTCTGTCAAACAAAGCAAAGAATGAAGATCGTGGACCATAAGTGCGCAAAGTCTTTTATCACGAAGCTGTCATATAAACATTTTTTTTTCGAAAAGTGAGCTGAGAACTCAAATTGATAAAAGCACTGCGTATTGCAGTAAAAGCTTTAGTCTACTAGCTGGGATACCCGGCTTCGCCAGGCCCTGTCAAAACACTATGATAAAGGCCCCATCCCTATCCGTAAACCTTTCCCTGTGCTACTTCTACATAGCAATTCCCTATCCCTGTTTTGTTTTCGAGATCAGCATGCCCAACCCTCTTTGTGCCAACTCCCAGTCCCGTAGCTCAAACTTCGCAAAAAGTTAATGAAAATCAATATCGGTATGAATCGATAGCGAAAGTGTATATGGGCAAAGTCCGGTCCGGATCGGTTCAGAAATGCAATTTTCTCTTCGGAACATACGTACACATATACATACAGACAGACAAGCAGACTTTCAGCTTTATATGTAGAAATTAATGCTACCGACGGAAACTTTTGTCTCTGCCTTAGTGCTTTTTTATTGTTGCAAAATCGTTGAACAGAAGTAGCAAAATATAACCTAAAATCTATACAAACATGCTAAGACAACAAATAGAATGAGTGACTATGTATGGTCATGTAACCTTTTTTCAATTACCTTTGCCCGTCTGTTCGTGTATATGATATATAAGGCAAGCTTTTCTCTCTTTGTTTCAATTATGCAACCTTGTTTTTTCAAAACTGTGATTTAATGGCTAATACAACATTCTATAAAGTCGCCAGGACTGCTTTTGATATTTAGATTGCCATGTGTAAGTGAGCTTTTTCAAAAATATGTTAAACAAGAATTAAATATACTGAAATAGTAAACCATAACAGAATGCTCAAAGGCGACGACCCGAGAGAAAGCGCATAATCGAATTAGCTATTTTTCACTATGTTATTTTATTCGGTGATTGATAGTTCGCCGACGCCCGAGTTATCCCTTCGTTTCGACGTCATTATCGTTGATCTTTAGCCGTATTATATGATGCATGTTATGCGAACAAGCATGTAGTGGACCGAGAAACGGGTCTCGATTAGCTATATAGCTTTGATTGTGCAATGGAAGACCGGTCGTCTCGATCCGGGTGCACAGCCTTTATAAGGCTTGTTCAACTACCTGATCATATCAGCTCATCCCAAATATGCTCCGTTCTCTTCTAATTGCAGCCAGCGCTGTGGCAATGGCTCTCGCTTTTCATCGTGAGTTTTTTTTTTTACTATTTTTCATAAATTTTCTCTACTGTTATCACATTCATTCCTCTCAAATCTATTATAACAGAGTATCGAGAGCTTAAGTGCTCAACCCCTACCAATACGATCCGCGGTGGTCCTGATAGGTAAGAGCACCTCATTCTTTGTTTGAAATATTTGCGCCAAGTTCCCCTTTCCAGGGCGGAGTGCCAACTCATTCTGAAGGAAGAAGAGCTAGAGACGGGCAGACCTGTACCTAAAGGTCTTGGCTGCTGGAAGGTTAGGCTCCTCAAATACTGTAAGTAACAACAACAAAATGATCTTTAGGAGGATCACGAAGGGGAGGAGCGAGAATACTGTGACCTGGTATGCCCCAAATCACATACTGTCTTCATCTCATACATCGATCAAGGTCATCGTGCTTGCTTCAACTATGTAACCTACCAGATTGAGAAAGTAAGCTACCACACACTTGTTTTCTCAAATAATAGTTATAACCCCAATTTCAGCGCGAGGAAGAGCGATACTTGTGGCGCAGCGGAAAATGCCTGAACTCCACTGTCAACTACCGCATCGGATGCAAATTCGATGATCCATTCGAGACCCAGTTCAAGACCGACAACGAGATTCTCGCTCGCCTTCGTGCTCGTGCTCGTCGTGCATAAGCTCTAACTTCACTTTTAGTTATTTGTGCAATCTCTGATAATGTAGTAAATATTTATTATACAACCAACGATTATTCGCAGCACATTTTGTTTGAAGAATAGAACAGGGGTAGTGTCTAGTGGTAATGACTCAAAAACAACAACAAAGCTTATAGGCCAACATTATACAAGAACGACGAACTGTAACTCGGTGTTGAGGAAACGATTCATGCCCCCAGCAGGCTAGGCATCGGTCAATTCCTGGGTTCTTTCCTCGACACTTGACGGAATTAACCAGAATCTTTCTTTTGACCAGCACTCTGCTTCTGCTCGCGGCTTTTATTTAATCTTCTACGCTCTGCTGAGAAATTTAGCTTCATGTTCTTCCGCCATTAAAAAATGTTAGATCTGTGTTCCTTGCCATTTAACATAAGGAGCATTGTGATATTTGACTTTGGAATAACCCAATACGATTTTATTGTATATTGTAGAGATTGATGATTCGCTTTATTGCCAGCTGTCATCAAATTCCGAAAGTTTTCAGCTACTCGCTACTCATCTGCTGTAAATTCAGCAATGCAATGCACTGTGCTATTCAAGCAGAGCAGCCGTAAGGAGTAAGTGCCATCAGGACAGTGGACGTACTACCAAACTTACACGCCTAGTTTGCAATCGCACTTATGGTCGTGTATCTGCCTGATACTTTATTGTGGCTCTGCAGAAAAACAAAGATAGCGACCGCGCGATATCCCTGTTACGTACAGAGTGTACCAAAAGCATGGTACAGTCTTTGATGATTCAATCTCTCTTCACACAAAGTCATTTGCCGACCATTAGGTACCATTTTGTGAAGCCTGATTCTGTCTACATGGAAAGGATACTTGATGGCCGTGGCTTTTCGATATGTGATATACGTCAAAAGTTCTCCTCGAAGAGCTAACATCCGGTGTCCGTTGTGTGCTGAAGGGGCTAATGAGCAACGCTTTTTCTCGTTATCATACTTGAAGCGTTTCCACAAAAATACTATTGCTGAATAGGTGCTAAAGGTAGCGATAGTATACAAGATTATGCAACATTTTCGGGTGAATTTTTAAGACACATCCTTAAGCCACCTCTGAGATACGATACGCTTGCTTACGCATATCAGGGAGGTGCGCATATCTAAATACTATGTTGTTGCTTATGTTGCTGGTAAAACTGAGCACGCACTTCTTCGAACATAGTTTGCAAAAAATCGGTAGATTCCCTCGTCACACCGCTTTACGGAGGGGCATATTTTCTCGATCTTGCAATAATCGTTGGTAATTATATACCTAGGGCCCCTATTGTGATTTTTTGCCTTGTTCTCAAAAAAATTAGTATTTTTCTCGACAGATGTGTACTGCTATTTTCAGCCAGTCCCTGCATTATAGAGAAGGGCCCAATCGCAAGCGCTTTGGGCTTTTGCACAACTTGCTAAATTGTCTGATTGCCCGGGCAATGAGAAGACTTTCCTATGGAGCTCCTTCTTGAGGACCACCACGTGCAAACAGTGAGTTATTTGCATGGACACAGTATGAGATGATCCTGCAAGCACTGCATACAAAAGCCCGGAAAATCAGTGCCTTCCCTCCTCCCTCCTTTCGCGCACAAGGAAGGTTTCTCCACAGCCTTTAAAAATTCAAAGTCTTCTACTGTGACTTAAAGACGTTTTGGGTTTGACAGAATTAGCGGCTCAGATTGCATAGATGGTAGAATAGAGTGCTTGAGTAAAATACGCATTACTTTCCCAACTAAATTAACTACACTATTCAAGCACAAGGATATTTACAGTCACAGTGAAACTGTTACGTTGGAACTCTATACCAGCATATCAGTCGACAACTTGAAAGGGCTTTTTACGTTCGTACTACTGAAGAAAATGACCTCAAACTTGAATTAATCAATTGACAAGGATCACTATCAATCATCAATCATCACAGTTACCTACCCTTGCGTATCTTTGGAAAAAGTAGTAAACCGATAACCGATCAAATTTTCCAAACAGCTGCATTAATTGTCCAGCATTGAATTGGACAAGACTATACGTGACAAACCTCCCCTCAGCCCTTTGACAAACCTCTCTCTCCCCTCAGCCCTTTCCTTCTCTACCTCATATAGCATGTTGATCAAAGTTTCTTTGAAAGCATTTTGACTTCTTGATCCCGAAGAAAAACGTATTAGAGCTTACTCTTTCTGTAAGCCAATGGCCAAGCTCTATGTAATGCTCTCAGCATAAATTTGAATGACGTGGGAAGTAGTTTTTCGTCGGGCACTTTTGAAGCATTCTATTAAGTTTACACCTAAGTTTTGCAACTTTTCCCATAGCTTTTTTCTTATTATAGTCGCAATTTCGTTCTCTGGCATCATGTTGATTGTGTAATCTGCACTTTTGCGCAAACCGTATTTTTGATAACAAAGTAGAAAATTATGATTTTTTTAAAAAAAACTGCTGAAAATTGAGGTTCTACGGTTTTTGGCAAAATGAAGCAGTACAAAACCTGAATCAAACATATCAAAAAGCAATTATAGGCAGCACGTAGCTAAAAGTTGGCATATTATCAGTTAAAAAACCAAATTTTGAGACGAATCAAGTTAGGTCGCCTTTCAGAAGTGAACAAGTCAAACACTTCAAATGTGAATTTGGAATTCCATCTGTCAATAATTAACGAGGGAAACTACCTAACTTAGCTCGCGCTTTCGGAATAAGACACTATATCTAGCATCAGCTTAGCACGCTGATGCCAAATATGCTGTTTCCAGCTGCCGCGCATCATTCGCAACGGAGTTGTGAGGGCCTCCTCTCCTATGACTCGCTCCACCGGCAAGTCTAGGGAACACGACAATGAGAACTTGAGGTCGTATTGTGCAGTGGTAAGTATCTCGCTCTATAATCTGAAGGTCCGAGGGTTCGAGTCCTATTGCGTGTTTAATGTTTTGCAAATCCTCAAAAGTGTTCATTAGGCAGCTTTTGCTGACAGATTCAGATTGCGGCGTACTGGTTTCACCATAAAAACTTTACATGGACTACATGCTGCACCGTTTTCGATTGCAAATGATTTTTGAGTGGTTCTGAACGCTCTACATATATTTATATATTTATTTATAGACAGTGATGGTGCATAGCAACGAAGTGCTAAAAACACAAATGCCTTTCACAGTAAGCACAACGAATAAATTAAAGTTGGTGCAGCCATCATGCACTTAAGTACTTCAGTTGATGCGAAGCAGAATTGTACTGGAGTCTCAAAAGTGCCAGGATGATTTTCTAGTTATCTGGCGGCATGCCAAGGATAGCAAAGGAAGTTTCGGAAGCGTGGTGAACAGAACTGGGAGTAAATGAGAGAAAGAATTTTCAAAACTAAATCCCTTTGATGCACGGAGAATTGTGAGCGTGAACGTGTGAGATGAACCGTTTGTACATGGCCTTAAGAGGCTTAAAAAATACGTCCAGAGATTGATTTGCGAAGTGGTAACGGGAGAGATGTTCAATATTTTTACTTGTCTCGACTAGGCACAGCTGCCGTGATTACGCTGTGGTCCCTAAAAGCGGGAATCGACCATCAGTAGTATGTTATTAGATGTTGAGCTCGAGGACTCCAAGCAAGTGGTGACCCATTTTATGAGAAGATTTTTCGTCATCATGTGAGTGACGTTGGCGCACACCTCGAGGTTGGGGGCTCGGAAGTGTCCTCTATTAGGAAACGTTCCCTGCCTTTCCCAGAAATCGAAAATCGCAAGTTTGTGGTAGGAAAGAGGACATGACAAATTACCTGAAATACCATAAAAAGTTCGTCGCCCAGGTGGCCATGAGCAAATAGTGTTGGCATGATTGTAAAAGAATGGGTGATCGCTGAGACAGCCTGGACTACCGTTTAACCTTTCTCACCCCTTTTCCGGCCAAAGAGCGCGCAGAATGCATCTTCTCCACAAATCCGCTCTGATCTGCGTTGCAGACCGCTCCCAGCCGCCGTTGCATTTCTAGAATCTATTTCAAAGTCACAACGGTACTTTTATTATCTCATACCTATTTTTACTGCTCTCACAAAGTCTTGAGCAACCTGCGTAAGTCGCTCGCTCTCCATAAAATTTCTCTTCGAAATAAAAGTAGTGATATGTCGCAAGACAATTCCATTACTTTTTTTTGAATTAATGGATACACCGACGACTAGCACAAAAGTTGCTAGTATGTAAGTCGGTCTCATTCATTCGCAGAGCGATAATCTTCAAGTCGCTGTCATAGTGTGCTATTCCGGCGTTGAACTTCAGTCTCAAAATCTCCCGCAATTTTTCCGCCAACATCCGTAGCTTTATCCGCTTGTCCGCCTCAAGATCACCTAATAATAAGGAACATGCTTTTGCAAAATCGTTATCATTATGCTGTACCACAAGCAGCTTGTTGATTTTGCCATTGTTTGCTACTGTAACCAACGGTTTCTGGTAAGGTGGCCCGAGAAAGAAAGCGCCACATTTTATAAGTTTTGGCTATATAAGCTCCTAAAAATTAGCAAGCATACCAAACAATTTTCGTTGTGCGTGACCTAGAGCACACAATTTTGATCAGAAAAATTTCTGTAGTGTATTTCCCAAAAGAAGATCCTTGGATCTCCACTTGTTTTCGACTATAACTGATGTAAACTTTCTCTTCCTTCATGACAAGGTTTTCGAACAACTTGAATTTTTCCGATTTGCACAAGAAGATAGCAAACGGGTGACAACAACTTGCAGGATTTGTTGCAAAAATTCAAAAGCGTTGTAGCCCATAGATAAGCGTTTACGTGCTGTTCCATTACGCAATGGTCAAAGATTCCTGAACTTTTTTTTAATCTGTCATGAGCAGTGGGAGGTAAGAACAGTGCGTTGTTTTTAAAGGAAAGCGTGCCTCTAGTGTGGGTATTTCTCCGGACGACTCCGCCTATATCTCTTTGACAAGAAGATTAGCAAACTGTACAACGCGATATTTTGATTTTCAAGTTATCCACACGTCGAAGATCTTCCAAGAA